ATGATTTCATGAGGAACTGGATATTTTTATGCTCTCAACTTCTGTAATAATTATCCCTAATTAAGAAGTATTTCAAGTTTTACCATGAAGTGATATCAGTTGGAGGACTACTGAAAACCAAAGAGTACTGGAGAACTGCTTCGTCCTTGTTTGAGAGTCATTGAAAGTAACCAGAAGGTGCTGGGTTTGAACCATAGTGGATGCTTACTGTCAATTTTCCAAAGCATGACGAAACAACTCTCCAATGCTACTTGGTTTTCAAGGCATCTCTATCTGAAATAAAATTATGAAATACAGTAAAAGGAAGATTTTGAAGTCTACATTTACTTAAATAAGACTAATAAATGTACAATCCACCGGTATTTCATTGGTCTCCAATTTCCCCGATAAATACACATATTAGCAAGCTAACATACATTCATTGTTTGTTGTAGAATGCGGGACATGTATTATTATCGTTGTAGACTAGTTTTATTCATAAAGGTTACAGGGAATAAAGTGAAAAGCGGAGTTGGATCGATGTTCTAGTCGATAGGATATTTTACTTCAGTACCCAGTAGATACTTTTGTGGTATATAACAAGCGAAGCGTATCAAGGATTTGAATGCTGTATTACTTTACTTTGTTTTTAGGAGAAATATGTCAATTCTGTTCACCAAATAAGCTTATCTTTACTTTTGAAATTTCAGAACTGCGGAGTTTTGTTATAAGTAAAATACCCGAGAAAGTGTCACAAAATGAGTTGCATATTTTTAGGCCAAAGGAATATGAATCGCATAGTTTAGTCCGAATAGCTCACCTGTAACATTTATAAATAAAGCTGTGAATGACGTGAGTTCGAATCTTCTAAAGATTATAACTTATCTTGAAGTTGCAGATATGCTTTGCAGACGAGTGGAATGAAACACGAAAACTAGCTGCTAGGCCTCGAGATGGCCTACTACTGTGGATAATGGTTTAAGACGTTTGACGCAGTAAATCCATGACCACAAGACAGTAGTGAATTCGTGATTTGGTCTGGTTTGTGAAAATAAATGATTCTATATTTAGCAACCTCAAAATTTACTGAATAACTGGTTATATTTTAATTACAGATAAGAAAAGAGCAATATTCACTATACATGCATTGAAAAATAATGACTTCACAAAACATTTTGGAATGTTGAATTCTAAAAAGTTTTACCTAAATCAGTAGCTGTGAATCGTATTGCATTAACTGTCAACACGTTCAGTAGTGATTCACAGAAGGGAGAATATTCTTGAGGGGCAACACTGACTCGTGTAAGAATTACATTACATGGAATCAGCCCCACACTGCTGAATTCGTTTACCATATAGTTATTCTAATTTATTCTGCGTCGAGTGTATATTCAGTGTCATTAAGTATGAAGACCACGTAAATCAAAGATTAGAAGTGGTATAGTTACAGATTTTGCTATTTTGTTAAGACTGTTCAACAAGTAGAATATACACAAATGAGATGACACGCATCCTTCGCTAATCTTTTCAGACTTACATCACACAACGCATCCACGTACTACATGAATACTGAGTGCGTTATCAGCGTGCTAAACAACACTAACTATCATTGACACTTTTGATGATAAGGCTTAATGAAAATACAACTTAGATTTTTGGGTTCGTAGTCATTTCGACTATTTTCGTTGTATAATTTGTCACGCTGGTTGATGGTGTCATCAGTGTGCACGCCTAAATAGCCCTAAGCTTACACGGAAGGGATGTGCATTGCTGCATGGTTCTCAATGGTTTTCTAATAGATGTCATCTCATGATGAAATGACGATGAGGATTTATCGGTTTTCAAAAGGTCTGAAAGAATAAAAATTCATAATTGTGCCACCCACTTGGATTCAGATTCTTCTCTCAGGCCAATATTTTTGAACATCTCGGATTACACTATACTAATTCACATTGAATTTTCATTTGCAAATCATTGAATCCCCTATACATCTCAGGATGAATTCACTCCATGTAATTTAAACTCAAAATAGTTGGAATAATGAGTACCAAACAATGCCAAAGCAAACAAATGGAAAACAAAAAGCAGTTATTTTGACTTTAATGTTTTGTTGTCTAACGAGTTACGCAAACCTTTGAGATGATCAAGCAAAAGGTATTTGAAACAGAAAAAAGACAAATAATTCATGCAAGATTACACCGGGAATTCTTTCAAAACCTCTGGTACTGTTTGTCTAAGCTGTTATTTCATTGACTGAATTTCTCTTAGATATTTCAGTTTTCAACACAACGGTAGTAGTAATAACGCATCTACTTCAAAATCTTCTAAATTCGTGCTATGGAGAAGAGAAACTGTTATTTATCCCTATGTTTATCTAATGTTTGTTTGACATTAACCCCTAATCTCGAAATAGTTCTGGTTTGTTGTTTTCACGCACATATAGAGCGTTTTGTATTTAGTGATGCTAAAACAAAGGCCAGAGTGTTGCTGGTTGTAAAGTCGCTAAACTTATCAGTGAATTTGCAGTTTGTCAGGGCTATTTCAAACATAAAATCAGCATTGCTGTCAACTATCCTGATCGTTGTTTGAGACAGTAAAAAGTCTCTGTGCACAATCTGTTTTCTGTTCGTGTTTTCAAGTGCTGGTAGTATTGTTGTTATGGTGACTGACGCTGTGATTAGTGATTAGAGCAATTCGGTTAGTTTATCAATTTCATACTGCTTGTAATCCACTATGCCACACTCGTGCTTACATCAGAAACATAACAGAAACTATAGCTAATGCTGTCTATGACTGAGAATGAAAGCAATTTGACACAAAGAGAAATCTAAGAGATTAGCAATATTCTCTGTCAGCTATTTTACCATGAGTACTGTTGTGTGTATCTTGAGCTATAAGAGCGCTCTTTGACGTAACAGAATCTAGATTCCCATGTCGCCATACATGCTCCCGCTATTGAAGAGAATCGTTCAGTAAATCGGCTAGAATATTTAGATCATAAAATTGTAATCATCATCAGATCAAAGTATCCCTTCAAAAAGGTCTACGCAATTTCTGCATCTCATCACTGGAGATAATAAAAGCATCTTCACTTACTATTCGAAATATCCGGGGCTAGAATAAAGTTTGTATTCATAAGAAATATTAAGAGCCCAGAGTAAGGGTGGTGCTGTGTACTCCCTAAGAGATCATCATGCATAATTCAGCATTACACAGATTGACTTCCTCATGGCTTGCACGGTAGAAGAAGCTCTGATAATGATGATGAAATGTGCTTCGGTGGCACAGGACGCTCGCCAACCATGTACATGGTCCGGGGTTTCGATCCCCGGCCAACGCACACCTGATATCAATGGTTGGTCTCCTAAATTTTGGCTACCAATATCACATGCTGAAAATTCCATACTTGTACCAAAATACTGTGTGGAATCAAGCTGTAATCAAAATTTTAAAAAAAATAAAATATGTGGTCAAATTTAGCAGCTTACAGAGTGCCAAATAAATGAAAAGGATTTGCATTGTTCTGTTCTATTTATTGTCCTTTTCTTAATTGGATATTTTTTCTTGACAAATGTCTGTTTTTTGGTATTTGTCCTCAGTAATTCAGAAATATGAGAGCGTCAACAGGTGGAATAATTTAATTAAAACTGTCAGTTTCTTCTGAAGGTTTAAATCAAGTGGGTGGTTTTCACAGTTGAATTCACCTTTAATTTAAAAATGAATATTTTTAATACCTACGTGTTCTAATCAGAGTGTAAATCTGGAATCGCCAGTGCCCTTACAGATTCATATGAATGAAATACGAATACTGGAGATTCAAATAAGGGATTCAAAGTGTCTGTCAGTTCGAATAGATAAAAGAAGTTAACTGACTTTTGATCACCATCAAGTTAGAATTGTAGGTCAGTAAACTGAACACTGCCGTCCACACATGCTGTGGTTGGCTGCCTAAATGATTGTGATACCTAGTTTTACAATGAGCGTAATTCGTGAAATTTACATACTACTAGCCTCATCTTATCTCCTACTTTCAACAACTGTTCTCGCAGCCATGAAGGACGGAGGAAGGTGCTGCGCAGTATGTACATCCTTTGGTGGTTAGTCATGTGTCTCTTTTATGCTAGACATGACGTAATGTTGGTAAATGTCAAAACAGCCCTTTGTATCTGCGCTGAGATTTCGTAGCCATCAGTCCATTAGGGCTGATATAATGTCTGAAAAAAACAGAGTGACCAACATATTCCAACATTTGTTATTCTAAAAATAGGAGTTGGTGTAGGCCAGTGCTGCAGCAATATCTTGTATCTGACAGGAGCTAATTCCATGCCAAACATACTAGGATCTTTGCTTGACAGACTGCATTTTGTTAGCAACCCCCACTTGATAAAAGGGCTATATCATCTACATACTCGCAATCAGTGAAAACTCTCCCTAAACACAAGTCAATCCCTAAGTAGCTCAAGTGGATCAGAGCCCTATCCACTAGTATATAAATTAAATGGAGATATTAGGCATTATTGACGGACACTACCGGTTGCTGTCTCTTCAGATGACAACACTCAGTGAAGTCTTATTCAGTTGCATGAATTTGGGTAGAGTACCCTGATTGATTAATGCAGCTTACATTCTCTTAGAGTCAGCAACTTGATAACATGCACGAAAGGAGCTCCAACGAAATGACCTTTAATCTGCGTCTGGATCAATTGTCTGGTTTATAAATCATATGGGAAAATCAAACTCCCATCGAAACGCTAAGGCCAGTCTACTTTTGTGGATTCTATTTCCTAAGCAATGCCTTATTTTCCCATCACTGTGAAGCGTAGAACTTACACTGGGTTATGGGTTCAAACTGTGTCCCCCTTGCTGGGTTTCATGTAGATATTCTTATTATATAATTGGAAGGCTTGTACAGTCAACAGTCAACTCTAAGCAAAGGTTATTAAATATCTTACTAATGTACAATTTTGTGTATAAAACGTTCTTAAAAGTGCTGTAAATTTCTACCATTTCAAACAAATTAGATGTCTGAGAAATCTAAAAAAATGGAGGAACGTCTTACACATTATCGACATATGGTACAACAGCTGTGTGATCCTCAAGTAGCTAGTGCTTTTGCGGAGGGTCTTCGTAAAAATTTATGCACTGGGAAAAGTGATTCTCATGTCAATTCATACACTGCTTCAACATCGTCATCCAGTTCACTGTCTTCCTCGCGAACAGAACCAGATAGTAAGTGTTGAATTTCGTTTATTTCAGGAACTGGTTTAATTCTTGTACTGCTTTTTTCAATGCCGTCAGTTAGAAGTTGACAGAAGTACAGTAGTAATATTGCGTTTCGTAGTCTGTAATATGTGATTAGTGACTAGTCTGACAATAGCCTTATCACCGCCTTTTATTGTTTCCTCTCTATATACACAAAAGTATATTTCATTTCTAAATTTTCATCACTGGAAGCTACATGTTCAGTCGTCACAGTGATGTTTGTTCTCATTCAACAAACTAAACAGTTTTTACGAGTCGATCGCGGATTGATATCACCTGAAGAACCACTGAAAACCATGTAGTACTGGACAGCTGTTTCATCCTAGTTCGGAAATCATAGGCAGTACGCACCCACTTGAAACCGTTTACTTATCGTCAGAGCAATTATTATATTTTAGAACTGCTCAAGGTATCTTGGATAATAGAAAAACATGTTCAAGAGTTTTCGTTTAGGAATTCGATTTGTATCTCAAGCTTGATCACGGATTGATATCAGTTAAATAACCATTCAAAACCAGGGAGTCCTGGACAGATGTTTCGTCCTAGTTAGGGTAGGTGCGTACTGCCTGGTTTTCTAACCACCACCACATTCGACTAACCGTAACTTTATCAAGGATCTCAACTCAGATCGTCCTGCTGCATTTTGGTCACTGAATGAGAAAGAAGAACTCTTTCCCACTTTAACCTACTTCATCTTGGCAAGTTCCAAAGTCTGAATCCATGAAACAGATAAAGAACACCATTTCTCCTGTTCTGTTTTAGTGTTTCCCTTAGAGTGGTGGTGATATTATTGTTCTTCTGTGCTTTTCCGTATCATATTTCAGTCGACGAGTCTTTCATCAATAGACGGAAAGTGCCGTCTAATGTAGTCATTCCACGCAGCACACAATAATTTTCTTCGATGAAACACACAATGATACGGTGTTCTTAACTAATGACGTTTACAGCATAATTTATGGCTCGTGATCATACAACGGTGCTCGCATGCACATCTATATATATACACATCTGGTATGTACTGCTTCATTCCTACTGCAAGTGTTTAATGTAGATTCCCTGCAATAAGACTCAGTGATCCAGTATTTCACTTTTTTGTACTGTAGCGCTCTCCAAGCCGATTGTGTCAGTGCGTGTATTACGACTATTGAATTCTTCAAGTTAGTACTTAATTTTGGGTTATGTCATTCTACAAGTAGCGAGATTCTTATGCTTTGATAAACTACCTGACCTGTCTGTTAGATTGACCTGTGCAGTTAATCTCACAGTCATTGCAGTGTATTTCATAAATTTTTATTTTGTTTAATTGGGTTCGTCGGTCCTCTCATAGTCTGTACTTGAGCGAGTTTTAGGTTTGAACACCACCCTAGCTCCTTCATTACTAGAACTTTTATTTAGGGTATATTCCGTATTCTTCCCGTCTATGGCGACCTCGCCTAGTTTTCTAGCCGGTTCAACGACCGGGAAAAGAGGGAGGGTTAGGCGTGAGGCTACCGATCCTACTCCAAAAAACCTATCAAACTTCTACGGAAACTTCAGCGCACAAGACAAGTATTGAAGGTACAAAAAATAAAGAAAGCAAACTGCTTCGCTAGAATCGGATAGGCGAAATGATGCGAGCTGTCGAAAGTCTTCGGGATGCATTCAGCCGATGTGTCTTCTCTCAATGAAAGCAGGAATAAGAATGTGGACGTGGAACGTTCGTACAATATACGAAGCTGTCTGGGAAGGCTGCTCAGGTTACTGAGGAAATGAGAAGATATGGCATAAAGTGCTGGGTGTCTGCGATAGCAAATAGAATGGATGTAAACTACCCAAAGTGTCAATTGTAGAGCCAGTAATCTGCTCCCGTCATCCAGACAAAAACCACGAGTACACTGAAGGAGTGGCGATCACAATGTCACCAACAACAGCCAAAGCCCTAATGCAGGCGGAACCAATCTCCTCCTGCAGGATAGTGATAGCTAGATTCAACTCAAAAGCTAGGGTGTTTATAATTAACCAATGCTACGCACAGTGCTGCAAACAATGCGGAACAAGAGAAGAAGGAAGATTTTTACAGACAACTACATACAGTAATGGACAACAACCCAAATGGTGACATCAAAGTTCTCATGGCAGATATCAATGCCAAACTGGATGCAGATAATACAGTAAAACTCATCATGGATTGAGAGACTCTAGCTCAGCGAAATGAATGAGAATGGAGAACTGTTCAAAGAATTCTCCGCCTTTAATAAGTCATTTATTGGAGGTAGCACGTACAAACACAAGGATATACACAAAGCAATATGGATTTCGCCTGACGGACACACGACAATCCACATAGATTTCATCTCAATGCTGCTCAAGGAAGTGGAGACGCAGTCGGCCTGCTGGATACAAAGTCGAGAAAGAAAGCAGATGTGGGCTCAGACCATCATCTAGTTCAAGGAAACTTCAAAGTGAAACTAAAATCCCTCGAAACAACTGCAGACAGGCCACTGTCATTCAATTTCAACATTCAGAAACTGAAAGACAAAAGTACAAGAGATGCATTCACTAGAAATCATATCAGAGCGAAGTCGGAGACACTAGGTAGTATCAGTGAGGACACCTGCGTGGAAGAACATTGGAATTAACTTTCTGAAGGTGATGTTCATGCAAACGTTCTGGAAAGAAAGAGACAAGACAAGGAATGGCTCTCAACGGACACCTACCTGGAAGCTGATGGAAGAGAGAAGTATGGTGAAGAAGATAACTCAATGCAAAGATGAACAAGAGATGAAGAAGCTGAGTTCAGTGTACACTGCACTGAATAAAGAAGTGAAGAAGAGTGCTAGGAAAGACAAAAGACAATTCTACAACACACTGACAAGCAACTGAAGCAGAACAGGCAGGCCGCAGGTAGAAGAGACCTCAGTGCATAATATCAGGTAACTGGGTCTCTATCCAAGAAGAAAGCAACACAGGAGAGACCTATAAAAAGTGATCACGGGAACCTAATTACCAAGGAGGAGAGACAAATCAAACAGTGGGTTGATCACTTCACAGGATTCTTGAATCGACCACCACCTGCAGCTTGATCAAAAATGCCACCAACAGCACGCACACAACTGCATGTTAGTGGACACCAATCCTTCAATGAAAGCAGAAATCTTGAATGCGGTCAACCTACTGGAAGCCAGCCGGAAAGTCGGTAGGAACAGACGGAATCCCCCCAACTCGAAGCGCTGAAAACGAACCCAGAGACTCAGTTAGACGTGCTCACGCCATTACTGCAAAAGATTTGGAAGGAAAGAAAGGTGCTTACTGATTGGAAGAAGGACTGGCTACCTTGTTAAGTTACCAAAGATGGGCGACTTATGCCTGCCTCTGCAAAACTGGCGTGAAATCATGCCCTTATCCAGGCCAAGTAAAATACTAAGCCGCATCATCCTGGGTACAGAACTCCGCCAGTCCCACCAGAACAAGCTGGATTCAGAAAAGGCAAATCATGTGCTAATCAAATTGCATCAATTACCATCAACGGGAGAAATTTGAATGAGGTTGCCTCCTTCACTTATTTAGGAAGCATCGTTTCAACTACAGGTACTCGGCACGGATGATGTCAAAGTCAGGATCGGAAAGTCAAGATACACCTTCCTCAACCTGAAATCAGTTCGGAAATCTTCTACACTCCACAGCATAAAGAACAAGATTCGGATTTTCACCACAAATGTGAAGTCAATCAGTTCTCCTATATGGTTCAGAAGCTTGGCCAGCGTATCACGAAAAGGATTTTCAGCAGGTTACAGATTTCTATGAATGGTTGCCTTCTTTCCATACTGAAGATTAAATGGCCGGCCGGCCAGAAAGAATTAGCGACAAACTAACTAAGAATCTATCGTTCAACAAATATGTGGGAGAAAATGGAGATGAGTTGGATACAGGCTAAGGAGGCCGTCGAATGATATCGTGCTCCAGGCCCTCGAGTTGAATCTGAAGGAGAAATGACGAGTGGTTCATCCAATGGTTACATGGATAAGAGGAGATGAGAGACTATGGGTAATCGCGGGTCTAGCTGAAGGGGACAGAAGAAAACAGAACAAAGTGGAGGTGTGCTGTTGAAGCCATATGTTCCACTTGGAACCCAAGGGGATCAGTAATAATTAAAAGTTTCTTATCAGCAGTTTCACAATTATTTCTTTTATTGTAACCTTTTTGAACTTTCTAATCGATTTTAAGAGATGTTAATATGGCAGCAATGCATCCGCTCTCTATCTCACACCGTTTCGTTTCATTATTTAAGCTGTCTGATATGCTACTTAGAGTATTCTATGCGTTGGTTAGGGGATTAGTTAATTTTATCTTTACCAATAACAAATGCGGTGAGTCAAAGCATATGCTATAGTGCGTTGAAAAGAATTTGTCATTACATTGTTCAAGTGCGTTTATTTGATTCAGTACTGATGTTATAGTATGCTTTTAGTTATTTGAATATTCAACCTTACACGTTCTTACCTGAATTACATTCCATACTAGAATCCCACTATAAATGCATTCGTCACACCAGCGTCAGTTCATCCACAGCAACCTACCCAAAGTAAAGACGAACCAATTACTAACCAAAGATTTCAAAGGAATCCAGTGTCGCGTCAGAAAAGGCCTTCGAATACTGCACCTCCGGAATGCAGACCATCTTAATAACTTTCTTTTCAACTATTTTGTAAATATTTCTTTCTCATAACAGACAAAATTGCACAAATGTTCTTAATTACTCCAAACTTTTGGTGTTTACTGATTCGTGATATTCGCAAGTTACGTTAGTTTTACAGTTTCTTAGAGACATACTGCATGTCTGGTGTATTTCCTTATACGCAAACTATCACAATTACAGACAGATCCAAGTAGTCAAACACGAACATAGGGTTTAGCAGACCAGCTCAAAAGCGTTTCGATTGCCGTTTTCATCTGCTTGTGTGTTATTGCTATACCATGGATAAAAATCGAACTGTTCATTGTCGGGCATCATAATAGATATGACATGATTGCTCTAACTGCCAGACTTTCACTTCTTCGAAACTTGGTGTCTCTCTCTGGGTGTAGACATTTAGAATAGAGAAGTAAATTGTGATTGATTTAATGAAGACTGTTAGAATGTCCGAAATTGAAACAACAAATTCAGCTATAGGTTGCTGTCATTTTCACTCCTTCGGCGAGAACATCTACAAGATTTAGACAAACAGTAGCTCTCTCTCAGAAGCATCACTATGAATGTATCTCACTGTTCTTAGTTATTTCCTTACCGTGATATGTAACAGTTTCATTTTACTAAGATAGGTATCACGTTGTAAAACGACCGACAAATCTGATATGTCACAATAGTTTACGTGCTTAAATCCCCATCTGATGGTGTGTTCCACTTCGGGCTGGTGATTGTGCCTAATCTAAACTATTTTTGTCATCTCTGTGCTAGATAGAACCTGAAATACAATTTTCGTCAAAATTCTTCTTAATTTAGCGAAACACCTTAGGTGAAAATTGAGTTCCTGACATACTAATTTTATTCAGCTGGGAAAATGGTGATAAGCAACTGAAAAGTGTCTGTGACTAAGCGAATAGAATGACTACTGGTTGTTTTGACATCGAAGCCATTTGGTTTAATATCGTTAAAAGAGCGGTAGGGCATTCGTACGAATAAATTGCTGAGTCACGATAATAGAAAAACACATTCTCACTTGACGACCACAACAAAAGCAATAAAGTGGTTGCTCAACTGCTGATTTTTCTGGCTAGAAGCTCTGCCTCTGTCATCAGACACACATTATCGGCATAAGAATTTCGCATTACTGTGGAGCAGTTCGCGTATTTGCACATTAGTTTGAGTAAGAGCACTCATTAAACCCAATTTTTTAATCCAGCCTATGTCACGGCTTCAATTTCGAATAATAACAAAGTAATGGCGGATAGCTAGTTTCTAGATCAAAAGTAAACTACCCAAGATCGTTCCTTCAATGTGAATCTATGTCCATAACTGCTCCCCTGAAATAGCGGAATATAATATTTTGACATTGTATAGAAGAGGAATATAGAAGTGACGCAACGCATATATTTTATGTAAAAGTGTACCACAATATTTTCACTTTTCTTCATTGAGGTAGGTTATAATAAATTCATAATAAAATAAGTCAAGATAAATACTGTACCGGGTACATCGACAGCACAATATTCGCGAAAGTGTTCATACTACAGATAAGTTAAAACATGTTTATGTCTGGAAAACAGAATCTGGCAGTTTGATTGGTTCAATCGATATATTTGCTTGCTTCACTGACTCCCGAAAATCAAGGCCGAATGTAGACCTATAAATACAAAAATAAACACTAAGACTCACTTTGTTCTTTCATCATATATGGCGAAACAATAAAACATTTTCTACGAAAAGTGGGGAAGCAGTTCAGCTGAGTCTGCAATTATTTTCATTCTTGCTGACTCTATGTGAGATATGTATATATGTAACAACAGAAGACAAGGGCCAGGCAACAGATCGTTTATTAAGGAAAATCAACACATATTTATAGATTCTAATGTACATTATTGTAGATTATTGCTAGTAGAAAATAAAGTCTTTTGATTGGTTGTTTCTCACAGAAAGTTAACCTTGCATCTCTTTGTGGCTGTGTCAGATCATTCATATGCTAACTGTATCCGCCTACGCAAAGCCTTTGTTCTCATTTTCTCACCACCAATATTGGGGACATAAACATTGACGTCAATTACTGTCTACCAACTTTGGCTAGCAGCCAGCTCTCACCACATATATAGGAATGAAATTGCACAATATCTAGGTGTCATTACAAGAAACAGATACACCAACACGCTGGTCAGTTAAGTCTCGTAAATCAATCGGAAAACCCAGTAGAACCACATTTATCTACACTTAGTCAACAAGTTAACGAATTATCTTTTGAGTCTATAAAATGCCTGCTTCTGGATTTCACTACCGTTAAGAATAACAAGCTGATATGTTGCAAGTAAATACACGACGAAATTCAGGAGTTCTAGGTTAACGAGGATAAAGATGTTATATGACACATTTATGGAATGCTTTCAATTGAAGATTTAATATTCTTTGCATGACATAAGCCGGAGACTTTATATTCAAATTCTTTTGAAAGTCAACGAGTAAGCACAGTTACGCATGACGCCCAAATCGCCTTCGCGTGACTGACAAGCTGGAAGTGCACCTAGTAAATGAACTCATTTGAATTTTAATAGAATACAAACTTAAACAAAACAGTACAGGGCTTTGAGATACGTTGACGACATGATAGTATTGTACTGTTGGGAACACCGTTTTATCCCGCATCTGTCAAATCGTGGATGACAGTTCTTGTGAGAATATTTTTCGCTAAAACTATTGTATTGAATTAAAAGTAGGTTTTTTCGTATGGCTTCGTCAAGCTGACCAACGATTCATACAATAACCAAAGCTACATTTAACAGTAGGCACTACTTCAATTTCTGATAACTTTTTTTCTTAGTCATATGGTGCATAACTGACCGAAATAGAAATGTACTTACCTATGTTTATAGCACAATATATTTTCACTTATTTACGCGTTTAGTTTACTATTACCTCTGCATCCCTTCATTCTGTTTACTACGTAGTCGCAAAGTCTGACAAATGATACCCATTTGTTAACAATCTTCAATTGCTCTTATCTACGTCGCATATAATGATTATAGGACGTTACTTTACCTTATACTGATTGTGTGTTTTTTTCATATGAGTTGTATGCAACTAAAGAAAAGTTATAAAATAAAATTATTTATTTCATTCGATAAATTTTGTTTTTCTCGGTCTCGTCGCAGTTAAGGGCAACCTTAGATGATGATCCGCATGAATGGTATTTTATGTGAAATAAATTCAAAATGAAACGATATTATTAACCATGCCTACAGTTACTAAGAAAAAGTACTTAGAAAGAACTACACAAACCTTGGTGTAAAATCTACTGAAGAGATATTTTCCGTAATGCGAGGAGACTTTTCTTTCTGTAACAAGTATCCATTCCTGTGCAAATTTAAAAAATACATTTAAAAGCGCAGAAGTAGGTATTCTTAATATTATACAATCCATAATACTAGAAAACTAGATACATGGATGGGAGATAGTGATTATCACCACTCGGCAGTCATGCTTTTGTGCTGTACTTCGTTAGGGTTGACTGATATCTAATAAATTAAACAATATGACAAAAATTTATTTCAATTTGGACTTCCCCATTCATTGATTGGATCGAAGTGTTCGGCCTCTGTTGACACATTGGCCCCTTGTGCGAATGCTCCGACGATGTCTGAGGATTTAAATCGAAGTAATTTGCTGGATGGTGACTAGCAGTGGAATCCAGGATGCTCATTTCGCTACATTTGGTACTCATCAGATGGATGCAGCAAGTCATAATAGTATATTAAATATTAACTGATACCCGTTGCACAAAAGTTAACTCTCTTGGCCTAAGCAATCTAGTGGATAACGCTTTGATGTTTGAAACTATGGGTACTGAGTTCCAGCCTCAGTGGGAACACCGTCACTCACTGGGGATGCGGGCACATCCAGTTGACGAGTCCTAAACAGGAAGAAACGCACAACCTGGATTCCACTGCTAGTCATCATTCACCAAATTATTTCAAAAATGACGGAAAGTTGTGACTGTGTATCACCCAGCACAGTATTACGATCGCCACATATCGCTGCAACACGTGTGTGGTTTTCGATCACCAGAAGACGAGTTGCATGTACATCTCAGTCATATTTCAACACATTAAAAATATATAAACTGAAGAAATATTACAACACTAGGTAGAAAAATGCGTTGACGAATAATAGATTCACTATTCTCATAAGATATAACAATGTACGCATTTATTCAGTTTTGTAAAACTTTCTGACATCAAAAAACAGATGAACAGTTTAACGGTTCGCTTTTCTAAACACGTTCGTATAACCTGGAGATTTTTAACGGCGCTTTACTCCTAATTGCTCTCTTAGTCCACTTTATGAAGGTAGCTAATCGTCTTCATGTTTCCAAAATAGTGTTACTGTTCTGAGTGCTACTTACAATCAGATATAAGTAGTCTATCAGTAAACGAATTCAGAAAAGTAACAGTATGTTTTGGACACTAGAAGAAGGTAGTCGAAGAAAAGAACTGTCACAAGAACGTTACAAACACTGTGCAGAATCCAACATGCTATCGAATGTGTTTACATTCAACCAATTTGCAAATTATGTGCAAATAAAGCATTGAAGATAAGGCATACCAAATTTATGTGCCCACACAATGCGTTTATCGCAATAAACATTCCTTCCAGCCTCATCAGGTTTTACTTCTTTACACTACTAAATCATAAGATAATTCGTCTCGATACGAGATCTATAAAATATAAATGAAATGTTAGTTTGGGGAAATTCTGTAGCAAGTTACCATGTGTGGTCGTTCGTCTAAATGAGAATAACAGTAAAAGTAATATAGAAAGCTTAATTTATAGAATTACGTACATGGATAGCTAATATGTTCCGTCTACTATTCACGCTTGGAATGGAGTGGACACAACAGATGCACTAGAAAAAGACACAACAATATACTACACAGAAAAGGAGAAATACTACTGCTCGATGGTGAATTCGTTGCGCACATGTATAGGCATACAGCAAAGCCCTTTAAATAGACAATGGTGAGTAGTTAGCTACACACTCATTGGTGGATGTAAACCTCAGCAGAGCTCTACAAACTAAGCTGAATTGGTGGTATGTGTAATTTAATGATGCGATATTATTAGAGAACCCATTGAAAATGATTCGTTTAAAAAATTATTTTCTCTCCTCGAAAGGTATTTGTGGGTGGGTGTGATATACTCTACTCCAATTTACTTTTCACAATGACGTTGGATTTAATCTCAAGCTGTGGTACTTACCAGGCTATCATAACTCCATTGTCTGTGCATAGATGTGGTGGGGGAGACACAAATTTCATGTTGTAGTGATTAGCCACTTCTGTCAATCCAGCTCGAATAACTAAATTAGCTCCGACACCACCAGACACAACCTATAAAAAAGGTAGACTTAGATATTCATATAATGTACAAAGTTTAAGGGGTGATAAATGTGACAGATACTTGATACTCAAAATGAATATTCCGTCTAGTATTTCTACTCTATCCCCTGTTCTCAGAGGTGAACTCATACATTAGTATTTTAGGCATCTTCCGCATTTAGCTAAATAAAGACACTTGAGCATCGTAGCAAAATGCTATTCTAATATGCACATAAGAATGTTTGCAATGGTTAAGTCCAGAATTATACTAGGATATACTTTTCATAGTTTCAAACTTTGAAGATCAAAAATATTTCCTGTCTCCGAAAAATTTTTACTTGTAATTGCAACTTTTCCAGTTGAATTGAATGGCACCGATACATTTAAGAGCATTTCAACATTTTTGCAAAAGATCAAAACCACACTAATACAGGGATATAAATTCACACAGTGTTGGCAGGTGGGAAGCAGGGATTATTTTACACAATTCTATAGTCGCATAAATAAGTTGCTCTTAATTGTCCACCTTCCTCTTTTCTTCCTCATCATCCGTCTGAACTTCTTGTTGCTTAAAACAGTTTAAATCTAAACGCTGTCTATCAAATGACCTAATGAACACTTTCACCAGAGTGATACTAATCATCTTCACTTTCAACGTGATTTAATTCGGTCACTTAGGCTCACGATGGTGAACACTGGTGTATGCTAATTGAATGCAGGTATATACGTGAAATTCGACAGTATTCAAAACACTCCGGATCAACTCCTTTTTAAATGAAAAGATAACGATCGTAATTCCATAGGCTCATTTGAAAGCGTGAAGTGAGAAAGTAGTGTCTAACAGTTGTTTACTTGGTCAAATAACAGAATATACAACATTGCAACGTAAGAAGACAGATGAGCATGAAACTATTGTTCGTTTTATTGAAAATGTGATGAACTTACTAAAGCAGTAGGACGAGTTATTTCAACATTGGAAACATTATCACCACCATCACCTTGTAATATGCAATATTCAATGGCACGTTGTACACGTCGACAAATAAGACGTGTTATTGCGAACTGAATGGATGCACAGATATCAGCAATATCTTGGATTGCTAGTGTATGTCCACTTCCTAGGAAAATACGAAATGATGATGACTTACAGTAGTGAAGGATAGAATGAAAGCACAATTATCTCGTATTATTCAAATACAAGTAGCCCATACAACCTAGGTTATACTTTCACGGGGGAAAATCAAAATTCCCTACATCTTGTATTTCATTTGCATACTAAGACAGCACAATTTATGTACTCAAGCTTTTGCATTATATCAACTTGTATTAATCATCTTTCTGTCATTATTGTTTGACGTAAAGTAGCAAGTTCCTGTATCGTGTAGTCAGCTACGCCTATAATTACTGCTGCAGTACTACATGATTGGTGTTGCTGTAGTATGTGTAAAAGGCATTAGACATGTGACAGAGTAATTGTAAGTCAACTCTATAAACCAACAGCAAACAAAGGATTACAATTATTCAAACTTACATACCACCGGTTGTGGATTCCAATTTATCTATTAAATGCTCGGTAAACACATGGATCCCAGTGAACGAGAAATCGCAGTCTTTAGATTGTGAACGTGGTAAAGGCAAGTCAAAACGACGATGATTGCCACTGTAAATTCTTGCAACCATTTCAAGAGCTTTCCCACCGGCTATGTTCTTTAATCTTTCATCCCCCAAACGATTCAATCTAAGACGCCTGGCGAGCTGAAATCGTAAAAGCAAATATTTCAACTGTTTTAATCCAATATTATTAAGCTCCAAAAAGTTTATGTAAATTGATTCACTAAGGCAAGAGCAATTTGTAACACATTGATGACCTTAAAAAGTAAATACGTATGTTCTCATGGGAAGAGAGAAAGAACTAGAAGAATTAAATTATTGATTGTCTGGTCGTCTTACAGATCCATTTTACTTCCACAGCGAGTATTCATTAATACACAGTATTGTATGACTAATGGTAGAATACTGGTGTCCGATTTTACTCGGAAACTCCTAATATTCGCAATGGAACTTAAAAATAGGAAATCAGTTTGAAAACCTTGTTTTCAATCAACAGGATCTTCACAACTTTAGTAGTCGATGAAAAAAGTTTGGTCGAAAATGCCATAGAAAGAGAAGAAAGTCGGATCATAGCGTTAGAGGCGAATGCATGACTGCTAAGCTACCTGACTTAAATTGTTAACAAACAAGAGTCTTTATATGTTGAAATAAACGAAATGAATTAATCTGAAACTTCACTTAACGGTAACTTGAAAACGAAATATCAGGGTACAGAGTAACTAACTTTGCCTCACTTTATGTACGAAGCCTACAGCAGTGCTAAAGTAAAGCTCGGGGATTTGGAACGAACGCCTGTTTTCTAGAGCTGGCAAGTTCTCAGTTGATCCTCAAATGACTTGATATTCCACACAAAATGGCACTCTGATGTTTTTCAGCATGATCGGCACAAATTCCGCACTTTGTGCTGTTTTCGGCATTATCAGCAATAGTTCAGAGTATACTGTGTTTGTTTCTCAGGGTTATTTCAGATCTCTCTGCCCCAATTCAGCAAAAACTAGCATTGTTTCACCACAGCCGCATTACTTAAGAGTTCAGTGCTAATTTTAAACACTACCAGTATTAATGCAGGTCCTTTTAATCTCGCAAAATATTCATCCACCATAAAACGACATCGTCAACGCACAGTCCACAGTTAATTAAAAATTACTGTAAGCTTCGGTAAGACCATAAATGCATGATAAAAGAATGGCTACAAAACTCACTTTATCAAGAACATCACCTGGAGAAGCATCTAACGCTGTACCTAGTAAAATGTAGTCCTCGACTCCCTGAACAATACCCAAAAGACCATGACCACCACTAATTAAAAGGATCAAGTAGGGGAATTCCAACCTAATATGTAAAGAGATATAGAAAGGTTATGGACAATTAAAATATTTGGTATTGTTGTTCGAGTGCGTGAAAATGTTCATCAGATAGAGTTAAATGTGACATTCACACAGTTTCGATGGAGAATGCTTACAATCCAATCATTAACAATTGCAATTGAAAACTCAAAAAATTAACATTAGCAATGCTCTAGAAAACTCATTTAAAAACTAATCTTAACATTAATTTGAACAGCTTTATATGAGGAAAATTGCATACGCTAAATTACAGGAAAAGATCATGCTGAACGTAGTATGGAGACACTTAAAAACAGTTTTATGTATGTACGCAATAACAAACAACCACACAATAGGGTGGGATAGGGTTAAAATTCTAAAAAGTAATATAGGTAGGTGGAGAGAGAGCTTGCTAACGGAATCCTTATTCATCGAGTCTACACCCAACACATGCAACAGAAGTGACTCAATGAAAATACCAGAAATATGGAAGATATTATTACCGCCAGTCAAATCAGAAGAGGATGATAAATAGTCTTAAAATTCTATTTCCATTCAAGCACATCATAACATTCTAACAATTAACTTATAATGACTATAAAAACACTCGTCGTATTTCCCATCTAATTGCAGTGGATTAATAACACTCGTACTATTATTTCTGAATGTACATTATCTCATATTGAATTTTATTCCAATATCTAGTCGATTCCACACATGTATATAAATGAAGGAAAGAAGTTGTGTGAGTAACTTGATATGATTATGAGCAATAGTTTGTGCTCGAAACGTCATCAGTTAATATAACTGTACTACACTGTGTGATTTATCAAAATAAAATCAATCTTATCCATTATGGAGTTTTATGTATTTTCTGAGAATTTACGTACTTCTGTGATTTGAACATTTGACTTTATCACCTTGATTACTCAAACTTTGTTCATGTCTTCTTTATTGACGGGCTATTATTAAGTGCCATCGCATCATGTGTACCTGAATATCTGATTTATAAGTCAAGTTCACAAACCCTCGTTTGCAGTACTCAATACAAGTGGGAGACATGAAAAGGCTAGCTGTCGTTGGTCATAAGTGCCTACGTTCTACCTCCCATGTTAAACAGTATAATAGAGTGAGTAGCATTGAAGTCAGGCGTCGAGTGATAGGTAAGGAGGGAGGTTGTATAACTACATGGATTGGGATAATTAGGACATGTGTCACGCATCCCTAGTCATCACCTTGCTCTATGTCCAATGTTAGCTGACACAGGATCAAGTTGAACAACAGCTAGTGGTGGACAAACCAAAACTTGCAATAAGCTCATGAAATCTACGACAGTTTGAGTCATGCAGGGAGGTATAGATTCCTGGTTGGAGTTGTCGGGATGGTAGGTTCCAATTCCAAAGTGATGAATTGACTCAAAATCGTCCTCAATGGTGCAGGTGCATTCACTCTCTGTGATCTAACATATGCAAAAAAACCAGTTCTTCTGTTACTATTCTTCCTCCCTCCCTCCACTTATTATCGTTTTTTCGAATCTCTTCTGTCATCTTATGTGTGCTACATGGAGTGTGGAAACTCGAGCTAGTTTACTACTGTGCAGTCAGGTAGACAACAAGGATATTGTAGAAGGTTTACAATTTTTATTGCTCTTAAAGGAATCGTTATTCAAGATAAAGATTTTAGTCTAGAATACATTGAACTTTTTTATGTGACATCACTCCCAACTCCTCTCACGCTCTATCTGGCGTCTTTTAGAGTTAACCATCAGAGGAGGACCTCATGCAGACATTACCAAAGCTAAAGAGCAATCTGAGTTAACACATAGTTAAATCACTACATTCCATATTTAAAAACACAGAAATACCTAGACAAAAAGAGTTTAAAATCACACACATTTTGAAACCCTTACTTGGGATCAGTATACAGAGCTGTTAGCGCATGAGCTTCCATGTGATCTATTGGTATGATAGGAATCCTACGATAAATAGGCTGTTCCTCAAGGTACAACATACAACATACCTTAGCTGTGTTGCCAGAGTCTTCGCAAAATCTACTCCAACTTTCAAAGACAATGACATGCCTGGTTTTACAGTAACACCGACATAGCTCAAATCCTATTTTGAAATATTATTCAAAGCACAATTTTCTCAAATACCTGTAACCGAATATCAGACTTACTAACAGCATCCAGAACAACTGACTCAATATGCTTTTTGTGTAGTTCAGCTGCTACGGGTGGTAGCACACCTCCTAACCTGCGAAGTACGTAATTTAGGTTTTAGTGAAATCTAGTTACATGACACTAGTACTTGTCTGAGAAGACAGTGAATCTCCCATAAGTTTGCCGGACGCACTAAATACTGCTGCACCCGTATCATCGCAACTCGTTTCTATCCCCAGAATATACGAAAATCTACGATGAATAAGCTTGAGAGTGTGCAAACAAAAATTTCCTCGTTACTTGGATCAAACATGGTAAATTCCTACTAGCGCGAGGAAGCGTTTTCGTAAATACCATAGTGTTTTGCGACGTTCAACAGTCATAAGCTGACAGTATTTAACAATATACCACGTTGTCTGCAAACAACTTAGAGAAAAGCGATATAGGCAGATTTTGATTGGCTGTTGGCTAGCTGGCTTCTTATTGGTCTAAAATATAAGTAAAAATGGCAGTCTCTTTATTTTGACACGGAAAGTTACAGTCAGTTTAAAGTCAGTCTTAACTTACCATAATATAACGGCGTGTTAATTTTTTTGGTGTGAGTGTAGTGTGATAGTCACACGCTATTTGGATGCATTTGTAGTATTTAAAGTACATTGAGATATATGGGAATGTCTAGTAAGTGAATATAAGTTAACAATAATTTTGATGCATTTATTTTAAGTCCAAAATAGGATGTATGCATTTTTTGTTACTATGGGAATAGAATTCAATAAAAATTGCTAAACGTATAATGTGTCTAATTTTGGACATGTAGATATATGTATGTATTAAGTGATCTACTTTTTTAAGTTTTCAGTTTAGTGACCTGTGGGAATTGCACATACTAGGTCAACATAAATAAAGTAAATTTCCTATGTCACAAAAGTGGTATATAAGCAATGAAATGCATACAACTGTTCATTTACTTGAAATCATTGTGTTGTGCACGTTAGGAATTGTTAGAACCATTAAATGATGTTGCAAAGTACTCCTACTGCGTCTACTTCACGGAATGTGTCATCTACATTGTGTGATGTAACAGCTACATTCCAAAGGATAATGCTTTGCTGTGTATTTTATACATGGATGCAATTTAAGGAAGCTTTAGATGCATTTATGAAGGTACTAACTAAGTTGTTCATTATTTCTTTGAAAGGAATCCAACACATGGTATCGGGTTGATTCCAGTAAAAAGGATCCATCCGGTCCTATGGAATACGAGCATGTGACGTTTAAATGCACTTTTGCAAGTAAACGTGCTTCCCGAGGTGCTGGCTTTAGGAACAGAGGGTAAGTTTACTGTCTATGTAAATTTTAACAATTTCAAGGTTCAAAAGTACTTCATGTCAATCAGTAATTACAGTACGGCGCAAATCCAACATATACAGGATAACAAAGTACCAAACTGTGCATAACCATCCATGCACAGCAAGTTTCATGTCCATTGATGTATCTAGACGTCGATTATCACCACAAGAAATGGCAGTTATACAACCGTTCATTGAAAGGAATACTGATGTCCATGAAGTAATGGATTTAGCGCATGATAAATTTGGCAAAGCCCTGCTGTATGATGATATTAAAAACATGCGGGCTAGGATGTATAAACGTAAGTCGTATGAAAATAAATGGTGCAGTAGAATAGAAATCGGCAGTTTAGAAGACCTGCTTCATCGACTAAGACAGACAGGTGCAGTTAGTGTTCTGCATGACAACGCAGGCTTTGTATCTAAAATTATTTTCGCTCGCAATGATATGATAGACTTGTATCATAAGTTTCCAGAAGTAGTTGGAATTGATTGTACCTATAAAACGAATAAGATGGGGTAAGTTGCAGAACAAGAAGGGGTAAATCCTTCTCCTAATTTATTACAGATGGCCTTTATATCAGTTTGTTGTGACTGATGGATTCGGAAGAGGAAGGACTGTTTTGTTTGCTCTGACTAGGAGAGAAAAGTTTGCAGATATCAAGGAGATATTGCAGACATTTAAGAGATTTATGACTGATACATCAAAAACACTAACATTCACTGTCGACTGTGCAACTGCACAGATTAACGCTTTAAAGGAGGAATTCCCTAGGTGCAGTATTGTTTTATGTCTTTTCCATGTATGCCAGGCATTCCGAAGGAAGGTAAGCTGCATTCCCATTAACTACCTTAGCGAGAACAGTTCCCAAATAAACTTGTTAAAAAGTGGTTGTATCGAATGGCGCACACGCGCAGTTACAACAGGTAGGTTAACAAATCGGAATTTATTGCCAAAGGTTTTGGACTTATCTAAATCTCATTAGTGTTATAGACGCTGAGGCTGGTGCTTACATTAGAAGGTACTGGCTAAGAACAAGGAAATATTGGGCTGCATCGTGCAACCGGTTCGCCATCACCATGGGGAACAACACTAACAACAGAGTTGAGAATGCTCACAGGCAGCTGAAGAGATATTTACGTAAAGGGGATCCGCTGGAACTGACTTTATGGAAAATATGGAAGTGGATTGACCACACAACGATGCGTAAAATACGTCAGGGCCAGTGGATGCTTTGTAAATACTACAATTACGATGTAAGTTTGAAGATAATTTACGATTTCCCCTAGGTACATACTTCCCTGCAGCCCATATTACGGCGTCTCACACCCTTTGCTGCCAAGAAAGTTTTCTTAGACTTGCAAAGGCGATCCTTCTTCTTTCATTCAATATCTTCCACTTCAGTTAATTACGCAGAAGGTGGTCACATGTTCTTCGTAAACAGGGATGAGGCGAAATGCACGTGTTGGACATACTGTGCATACAATTTGCCATGTGCTCATGTCGTTGAGGCTTTCTTAAATTCATATCTAACCTGTGGTAAGTTCTATTTCCTTAATTGTTACTCTTAGATATTCTGAGAAATAGTGACAGGTGGACACGTCAGTATAACACCACGGAGGACATTCCACGAGCCATCCGCCTAACACCGGAACCGAACAACGCGTTCAGAAATGCTTATGAACGTTTAAGACGTCGTCTCAACATTCTGAACCAAAGAAATCCGGATGCTGCACTGCGGGAAGTAGCAGAGTTCACAAGAAGGTTGGACACTTTGCTAGCAAATGAACCGCAAACAACTTTGAGATTACGACGTGCCCCTGTTAATCGATCATTTTTGTGAAAATATTTGCATTACCTTATTGTTTCCATTTGTATTCACAATATAAACATTTATGTCTAAACTGTGTTACACTTCCTTTCCCTTCAAATGCCTGAGAGCGACAGTTTAAAGCATACTTTGGTTGATTGTTTCCTGATGAGAGCGCTTGGCAAGTCAGTTACAAATTACACTGATCTGTGCCTTATGTAATGCGTTTTATCAGCCGAAGATTTCTAGTTCATAGCATATCGCGAGTAACGGCGACCAATACGATTTATTGCCTATACCGTAATCACCCCAGGCTTACAACAATTCTAAACTTATTCTAACCTATTCTTCGATAATGCTTATTAAGAAGAACAAGGTGATGAATTACAGCCGGTCATGCGGATAAAACAATCCCACGGTTCTGGTTCAATCACATTATCAAACAATGGCAAACCAGTTAGGGAGTTCATTTATTAAATAGTGTTACTATACTATCATAGTGCACGTGAATTAGCTCAATGATTGCAGGTTTACCATAATCCTTAACCACCAACATAATAAGTGGGAACTTCTGCCTAAAAACAACCTTACTAGTAGCATACAGTGACAAAAGCTGACCTACATACTCCAAAACAAGCAAAACGTTCAAAAAAACCTTTAAAATTCAATGGAAAACGAATTCACGAAAACATATAACCAGCAGACGCAGGAACCCATCATGACCTTGAAACTGACTATAGCGTCTTTCCAACTTAGAGGCAGTTGTAGTTCGTCCTAGTGTCAAGGTTAGATATTCAATGTTCTGAATAGTTAAAACATTATGCAACCAGCTGCAATGTCTTCAATGTGCAGAATAAGAAGACGATATTAACAGACTGAGCTGAGTTCCATTTGTTACTGTTAGGTTGCTTCTGTCGTCATATACTCTTTCTTTTCACATGATTATTTCGTTTCATGAGAAAGCATCTACGAACTAGTCTGAGTTTTAAGAGCCTGAGAACAATTTACCTGCGGATCATTTCAAAGGAAACAAATATGTAAAACTAATAATAGCTCTGCATACATTCATACATTTAAGATGTCTTCAACTATCTTGAATACTCACAAATAATTCAATGACCTCTTGTCAATTTTTGTGAATTGGTTGAAGTCTTGGTTGGATTGTTTTGTGTAACTGTATACCGTTCTACATACGTATGTGTCTGCTGAACTCTAGTTATTAGCAGTTTCGAAGATCATATTGCCTGTCTGTCAGCAGGAGAGGATCACACTGAGGCCACTACAAATACTGTATCAAGCTTCAACCCATAAAATGCAACATGAATGCAAAAGCTATGACAACATAAATGACATGACATGAGAAACCCCGGAAATATCTAGGACAATTAACCCAATGAAGAGCAGAGTCGAATGTGATTTTGAAACATAAATGAGATTTAGTATTCAGTGGCTGATGATTTTTAATTCCCAATCTAAAACACCGATGGACATTTGGCGTTACCCTGTTTCTATTTGCAGTGAAGTGGTAAAGCATCTTAAGGCGAAAGTTACGGAAAGACTGCTGGAGACAAAGTTTCGTTCTCTCTGAACATGGTTGCAGCGCCACTGTATGGGGAATTACTGTAATTTCCGAAGACTTAATCTGGAGAGGAGGTGACAGTAGGATACTAACACTTGCTACTGGGCGTTGATAAGGCATATCCCCTGTTTGAAGTGGCGCCTCCAGCTTTACCTTGAGGACATTTGCGCGGTCTAGTTGATTTCAGTTTGGCTGATTTGTTTCGTTTGATCTAGGTGGCTGCATTTGACGTGATTCTGGTTTCTGTTTGGCTTGAACTGTATTGATTTTGTTAAGAATAGTCGTCAAAAGCTGCCTCTAGGCCTGAAGGCAGTTATGGTGCAGGAGGATGCTTGAGAATGTGTTTCATGTGAAATTTATAGGGTGCACCTAAAATCCTCCTGTTTGTGGCGTCTCAATGATTTCTGCAGAGCTTCGTTTCATCACTTGTGTCCATATTTGTCGTTCACGAGTGTTTCAGTAAATGTTTATGGCTATAATCAGGAACTTTCCAAAACGGTAACTGTGGTAAGGAATTTATATTTTTTTCTGCTATAGTTTCCAAGTCAACGTCTCTTTTAAGTTGCTTACTGTACTCTGTTGGCTATTCATGAGTTTTTTATTGAAAAGCTTCTGTTTTCATTTACAGTGGTACCGAATGGACGCATTGGCACTCGGAGACAATGGTAACCGACCTGCCCTTCCTATATCAGTGGATATCAAAAAACTTTTTGACGGAATTATGTTTAGCCACCGGTATACCAGTTGGGTTCAAGCAGAAGATGCTCTAAGTCAACTGGAATCAGTAATATATGTATATATGTATGACAGAGTATTCCTAGGTAACTCATACACATTATGTAATCAAAAAGTGCATACGGGACCATGAATCTCAGGATTTGAAGTACGAATTAGCAGTCTTTCGTTGTACATATGGCATGAAGCGAAAAACTAGAGGTTCATGTTTGCGCGTCAAACCGTAAGAATTCTATTATTTATTTCTGCAGTGCAAAATACACCGGTTGCCAATCTGGCTTTCGTATACGCTACAAGGAGGACGAGTTTATCATTTCTTCCGCGAAAACAGTTCACAATCACAGATGTGAACAAAGTTTCATGATAGGTGATCCATATTTTAGACGCCTGTCCGGGGATGAAAAGGAGAATAATGCACCAGTTGTGAAGACTACATCTGAGGTTGGTGATGTTTCGGAGTATGCTGAAGAGAATTTTAATAAAATTTTGACCAGCACAGATGTGTATAATTTACGTAAGGATGTGAGACCAGGTAATTGAAGTAGTTTAAAGTTATTTTTGAAGCCATGCCTTTGAGATCAGATGTTATGCGCATAATAAGGCAAAGCGGTCAGGTGGTTGAATACGTGGATTCGAATACAGGGATAACCAGCAGAATTTGCTTCGCCCTGGAATCATAGGTTCAGTTATATCGGAAATATGGAGAGGTGGTGTGTATTGACTCAACATACAATACCAATAAGGATGGGTAGGTTATACGTGAAACGGTTGACAAATCTTAATCAGATATTCTCTGTTTCAGTTGGTGGTGACAGACAATATGGGTCATGGCAGGCCTGTTTTTTGGCATGGACGAGACGAGAGAGGTCATGTGATGTAGCTTGGATATTGGAACAATTCCAAAGAATAATGCAGGATACGTCCATTACAGAAACTGTCGTAATGGATTCGGCCAACTGTGGGATATCCGCCGTGCATAGTAGTCAAATTCAGGCGAAAATCGTCATCTGTGCATTTCATGTATGCCGGGCTTTCAGCAGGAAGTTGAGGTGAATGTAATTAATACTTGATGCATTTAGACTCGAAATCCTTTTGTGCGCAGGTTTTTATATCGTCTTGTTAAAGCTGCGACACCTGAAAGGTAAATGCATTGATTTCTAACCGTTTAGATTTCATCACTACCTTAGTGTCATTAGGATGGTTGATCGGAGGGTGTGGAATTATGTCAGGCATTACTGGGTGCCTAAGAAGGAGACGTGGGCTGCGGCATATATGCCGAATACTCTGTTGCTGTTTAATAGTACCAACAATAGAGTTGAAAGCTCTCACAGTCACCTAAAACGATATCTCCACAGAAGAGATCCCCTACACGTATGCATGTACAAGACGTATAAGTGGTGTGTACGCACAGAGAAGCGTCGTAGTGTTGAAGTCATCGTCGAAAGTTGTCGGATTCATAAGTACCACGCACCGGAACCAGTTATGCCGATATTAGGAAACTTCACTCCTTATGCCGCTAAGTTAATTGCCAAGGACTATGGCCGTAATCGTCGGATGAACATAGAGTTATATACTGATGATATGGCTATCATAAATGACGGCATATACCTGCACCAAGTGGATTATACCAATTCTACTTGTACCTGCAGAATATCTAGGGCACAGAGACTACCTTGCCGGCATATGCTGCTATGTCACACTCAAATTCCTCAGTTTACAGGTAAATCAAACTCTTACTAATATTTAAATTAATATTTTTAGTTGACAAAGTAATTCGCCTGTGTCGCAGATGGTTTTGGCAGGATCCGTTGCTACCAAGTCGTGTGCCGTGTGAAGGTTCAGTGAAGAAACCCTGCATGGAGATACTGCAACTTCGCAAGCAATTGAACAGAAGCTTCGCAGTTATGCAGGATAATTATAGTAATGAATATACTATTAGTGCACTGCGAGCAACTCTGAATTACTTTGAGAACTTTCTTGTATAATAATGGAAGATGTACATAAATTTTGTGTCAGTAAATGAAAATATACCCTAACTTCTAAACTGCATACGCCTTATGTTTTACCGTTTCATATAAGAGAAGTCTAATAGTCATTTGCGAATATAGTAGAAAGCATTTTCTAGAGAGCAAGTAAAAGTGAGTACTAGGCGGAATCTCCAGTACTTAGTATGAGAAGTAAGGTGAACTTTTTTTCTTGTAAATACGCAATGAAAAGATAATGACGAGTTTTTGTAACTAGCATTGTATTTCCTATGTAGGTAATGTTATTACGGGCATACGTTGCTATGACGTGTCTAGTCTGGCGTATCGCCGCATGAGTAACACCAATTGTAGCGTTTTCCAGTCAGTAAAACTTTGACTTTTCGTACGTCAAACTCCGCGGAAGGTAGATGAAATTAGAGACTGCTTACAGACGATCCGTACAACGGCACCTTAGGCAATGTCTACAAAGACAAAAATAAGATAATTAGAAGACACGTTAAAATGCATAGGTAAATAAGTCAAGTACTGTTTTGGAATGAGGGAGATTACTAGTATTATTACAAAGTCTTCCACTCATTTCATTTCTTTCGATTCCCACCATTTCTTGCGTCAGCGTTACTTACTTGTAGTTTACTGTTACTTCTTTTTTGTACCCTATTTACACGATGCAAGAAATTGAGAAAATGAGTGCGATACTTAGGATACGGCAGTAATAAGGGTACAAGCAGATTAACACTGCAGCTATGTGCAACAGTAATAATTTGCTTTGTTCGAAAACAGTATTAATGTTTCAGTGTTGAATTCGCAGCATCTCGTACAATATTGTATCTCATTTTATGAAGTAATAACATCTCGAAGGTATTTCATGCTAGACTTAGTTTATGTTTCAGTGCCCTCTGTGATACAAGCATTTTGTGAATGATACATGAGTATTTCAGTTATGCGTACTAAAGGTTTAAAAAAATCACTCATCTAATTCACTTTTATTAGCACTAATTCTTATGTCCATGTTACTGACTTTTGGTTTATGTTTTCTTCAGTGCACTTTATCTGGACAATTTAAGGAATTGAGAAATGCATTGAGTACTTAAGAAACGGCATTCATAATTGTTTGTGCCAATTAACACTGTGGTGATTTGTGACACTAGGCAGCTGCAGTGACAAAGCCGACTGACTGAGTTTTAACATGGAACTCGGTGGAGAAGTGCAACTTTTGAGATGTTACGGGACAGAGTGTAAAAGTTATCTCGAGTAGGAGGAGAAATTATTGTAAGACAACTCTTTTTCAGTTAGAGGAGAACCGAATAAAAAAATGCGATTATCATTTGTTGACATTTTGCTTATTTTTATCCACGTTTTAGCATTTCATTATACCTGGACTATAGATCATTCTGACAGACTGACTTTCAACAGAGAAGTTTGCAAACAAGTGCACCTGTTTACGTTATCACATTCCATGTAGCACACAAAGGTAGAGAAAAAAGAAATCAA